AACACGCAGCTCCTGGAAGATTGCTTTATAAATCAGAAAGTTATGTAGCCTCTGCGCTTCATCGCACACCTGCATGACAATGTAAATCCCACCTCTCAGTGCTGTTTTCCCTAGCCAAAAAGTGACCGCTACTCTGCACAGCTACTCTGTGACAGCCATATGCAATGCCACCTTGCTGCTGTCCCTGTCACTCACATTGTCGTCCACATGACAGTCTACTTCATCTGATACTAAGTAGCAAACTGGAACAATAATCCCACATCAGGAGCCCCTTCACTCAGGGAGGCTCTGCCGGGAGCAGTTTCTTAAGCCATTGCTGGCTCTAGCAAGACAGACAAAGAGCTGAAGGTCTCTCCCAGCTAGCACCCAAATAGGCTTTTAAGTCCTCCTTATTAAGCCAACCTACTGCTGGTGTAACAGGATAGGGCTTATTGAGCCCACAGCAGTTCATTGAGCCTTCCCTGGCCAGTGTGTATGCTCCCCAAGGCTGGTAATGCTACTGAATCTCAGAAAGATTTCCCATTTATCTACTATGGGCTTATTCAGCTCTAGGTATGTCACTGCAGAATTTAGAACAGGGGTCAGCAACCTTTCAGAAGCGGTGTGCCAAGATTTAACTTTCCCCATCCCCCTCAGTACAAGCCCTGCTCCCTCCCATTCTGCCCCCTCCTGTACCCACATCCCTGTGCCCTCAGTGCACACACCAGCGGGGAAGCAGCTCTGGGTCTCGCAGCCCTCTGAGCGCAGCACTGGGGTGAGGTGGGATGGCGGGGGCAGAGTCACTTCCCTGCCCAGCCCAGCCCTTTGCCCAGGGTTCACACCTCACCTGCAGGCTGTAGCTCCAGGGCTAGGGCAGGCAGAGCCTGGGCTGCCCAGGGCTGTCTCCAACCCCCAGCTGGGGAAGGGTCTTCCCACTCCTGGGGAACAGCCATGGCTTAGCTGGGCCCTAGAGCCCCACAGAGGCAGCAGCTGCATGTGACCGGCCACACCACCCTGATCTGCGGATCAGCCCCAGAGCCGCTGCCTCCTGGAGCAGGAGGCAGAAACTTATGTGGGAGGAGAGGGGTGTTAACCCCTTAGCTCCTGGGAGCTGCATGCCCAGGGATGTGTAGCCCAGCATGTGGTCATGCCACCCGCTCTGCTTGCCAGGCTGCCCGGTCCCTACACCAGGCTGCCACAAAAAATCATCCTGCATGTCTTATGGCACACATGCTGTATGTTGCTGACCTCTGATTTAGAACCACCCAAGGGACAGAGCTCATGACAATCGCTCCATGGCGTTTCCTGCAGAGTGTAGAGTTTAGATCAGTGATACTCAGATTGCTGCTCATAAGCCGCAGTGTGTTTCCTATGACTCTTTGCAGCACATCATGATAATAAAACAGAATAATTTAATTGTTAATGAATCAGGATGCTTTTAGTATGTTATTAACCATGGTCATACAGTATCATAGGCGAGGGAAGGCATTGCCTTCTCCAATTGCCAGCCTGGCTCTGCCCACACTCCTCCACCAGAGTGCCTAATGTAGACGTACTGGGGGACAACGTGTTGTTGCCCTTTGCAGCCACCTTTTCTAGCGCTTCGGGACTGGGGAGGCTGGAGCTACCTGCCTTCCTCCCTCCCCATGCTCCGGGGCTAGGGATGCTGGGATGCATTTGCGCACCTACACGCCTCCCTTACTCTCCCCTCCCCATTAGTGGTGGGGGGGTGCGTGGTGCACTGCCCCCCCTCCTCATGGTGGGGGGGCAGGGAGGTGGTTTGGCTCCCGGCGGGGGGGCTCAGCCAAAGAGCTGAGCTGGAGCTGGAGCTGGGGGCTTGCCTCTCCCAGCCCTACCTTCACAGACCACCCATGTTATTAACCAATTAAGTTATCAACTTGCATTAAGTTATTAACTTATTTGCTGTGAGTATCAGATAGCTACATAGATATTACTATTCATATTTCAACAGTTTAACGGGGAAATGCTCACAGCTCCTGTTGGTTCATCATTTCTAGCCAATGGACACTGTGGGAAATGGTGGCCCAGCCTGCAGGCCAGGAATAGTGAACCACAGCCAATGGAAGCGGCGAACAGCTGTACCTGCGGATAGTAGGTAAACAAAGCCTACCACCAGCTAACCCTGGCAAACTGCATTAAGCCCATGGACCGCTTATTGCCCAGCCTGTTTTAGAATGGTGTTACTGCAATGACCACACAGTTGTTTGTTGGGGATTGTTTTGTTAGCCTAAGATACTTACAACAGATTATATTGAATCTGGCCCACATCAAACATCAATCGTGTCAGCTAAAACAACTAATATTTTATGCTGAATAAAATACTGTATGGCCCACTTAACACTCTGTTTGTGATCAACACACTGTTACTATTGAGTTTAGAAAAACAAAGAACATGTAGTTATTACAAGAACATGTTTGCAGCTTTATTCAGTCCACCAGAGGGCAGGATTTTAGAAATATTTGTTAAATTTGACTCAGTTCTTAATGAGTGCATCTTGTTTCAATTAAGTATAATTATATGAAACTTATTTTCTGCCAGTAGCAATGTGATGCTCATAGTAAGGCAACTTGGAATGAGAGAAAGGCTGAAACAGTTGTACTATAGTCCAACAGAATCGTGAAATTTTTTATGTAAATTATACTTTACTATGTTGTGTTCTGTTCTTTTTGGGATTTCAGATGTTATATTTTCTGGGTTACTTCAATTCTGAGTCATTCCCACTGCTAATGCTGTTTGTCAGAAGTGTCAAAGTATCAGGACTCTTTGAATAACTAAGTCCATTATTGCATCCTAATCCATTTTTGAAGTATTTTATAAATATATAGATGCATGTCTGAAAATAACAAAGGAATGATATGGGGTGTAGAGATGAAGGATTCCCAGCCAATAATTGCTAAATAATTACATACATTTTGAGGAGGCCTGGTGATGGGAAAAGACCACTTGGATTTAGTTTATCTTGTCTTAATCACAAAGCTAATACTCCTACATATTATTAGCTTTGGGGAATCCAGATTCTGTAAGGAAAGGAGTTATTTATATTATAGACATTTTAGCAACTGGAAAGGGAACCTTTATAGATTACAAAACTAGAGGATAATTGGATTATATACCGGCTACCAACAAACTGTTATTTCTGTAACTTTCATCTTACATGTTAGAAATCAAAATGGTTCTTTCTGGCGGATCCAATCGCATACTTACTTATAGAATCATAGAATACTAGAATTGCAAGGAACCACAAGAAGTCATCAAGTCCAGTCCACAGCCCTCATGGCAGGACTAAGCACCACTTAGATTATCCCTGACATATCTGTCTAACTTGCTCTTAAATATCTCTAGCGATAGAGATTGCACAAACTCCCTAACCTGGCTTACCCACCCAGACAGTTAGGAAGTTTGTCCTAATGTCCAGTCTAAACCTCCCTTGCTGTAATTTAAGCCCATTGCTTTTTGTCTTATTATCAGAGATTAAGGAGAATAATTTTTCTCCCTTCTCCTTATAGGTACTTGAAATCTGTTATCATGTCTCGTCTTAGTCTTCCCTTTTCCAAATTAAACAAACCCACTTCTTTCAGAATTCCCTCAGGGGTCATGTTTCCTAGACCTTTAATCATGTTTGTTGCTCTTCTCTGGACTTTCTCCAATTTCTCCACATCTTTCTTGAAATGTAGCCCTGATAACTGGACACAATACTCCAACTGAGGCCTCACCATTGCAGAGTGGAGTGGAAGAATTACTTGCTTACAATACTTCTGTTAATGTATCCCAGAACTATGTCTGCTTTTTTTTCTTTGCAATATTTTCTTGACTCATATTTAGCTTGTTTTCCATTATGATCCTAGATCCCTTTCTGCAGTACTCCTACCTGGACAGTTGCTTCCCATTCTGTATGTGTGTATGATTGGTCCTCCTTAAGTGGAGCACTTTGCATTTGTCCTTATTGAACTTCATCCTATTTACCTCAGATCATTTCTTCAAGTTTGTCCAGATCATTTTGACTTATGACTCTGTCCTCCAAAGCACTCGCAACCCCTCTCAGCTTGGTAGCATCCTCAAACTTTATAAGCGTACTCTCTATGCCCTTATTTAACTCATTGATGAAGATATTGAATAGAACCAGTCCCAAAACTGATCCCTGTGGACCCTCACTTGTTATGCCCTTCCAGCATGAATGTGAACCATTGATAACTACTCTCTGAGAATGGTTATCGAACCAGTTATGCATCTACCTTTGAGTAGCCCCATCTAGGTTTATTTCCCTAGTTTATCTATAAGAAGGTAATGGGAGACTATCAAATACTTTACTAAAGTCTTGGTATATCATGTCCACTGCTTCCCTCTTATCCACAAGGCTTGTTATCCTACCAAAGAAAGCTGTCAGGTTGGTTTGACATGATTTGGTCTTTACAAATCCATGCTGGCTGTTACCTATCACCTTATTATCTTCCAGATGTTTGCAGATGGATTCCTTAACTATTTGCTCCAGGCCCAGAAGTTAAGCTGACTGATCTGTAGTTTCCTGGGTTGTCCTTATGTCCCTTTTATAGATGGACACTATATTTGCTCTTTTCCAGTCTTCTGCAATCTCTCTTGTCTTCCATGACTTTTCAGAGATTATAGCTAAAAGCTTAGATATCTCCTCCTAGAGTATTCTAGCATGCATTTCATCATGTCCTGGTAACCTGAAGACATATAACTTTTCTAAGTAATTTTAAACTTGCTCTTTTCCTATTTTAACTTCCAAAGCTATCTCCTTTTCTCCAGCATTCACTACTGTAGGCATCCAATCAACTCTAAACTTTTTGATGAAGGACTGAAACAGAGAAGTTGTTAAGAATCTCTGCTATTTCCGCATGTGTCGCTATATATCTCTACACAATACTACCAAATGAACCAGTTGTCCCTACTTATTAACACAAAAGTCAACAAAAATACCTAAAAAATATCAGAAAATATTAACAACACAGATAGGAAACCCTGAACATGATTCAAACAGAGGTAGATTTAATGACATTTTGTGGTCAGGAGCTTAACAGACAGGTGTAAACTGATATTGAGAAAGGATACATGTCTATCAATTCAGCATAATGCAATCTTAGAACTGGTATGAACAAGATGTAGTCTGTTGACAGGTTAAAAAAGGGGTTGCTGATAGTTGTTGGACAATTCCTTTTTGTCAGTTTCTCATTATCAAAGAATCTTTCATCTTTTTGCCCTTTAATAAGTGTGGTTTAGAATAGAAAAGGCTTGAATAACTCTGCACTGGATATGGAAGATAAACTCCTTATAAATCTGTTAAATAATTTATTATCCAGAATACAATACAATCACAAGAACAATACAATTATAGACCCAGTGCTTTTCGTGCTGCTTCAGTATCTTCTGGCTCTAGAAGCCCATTACATATGGGAAAGCTCATTACATATGAGTTTGTCTGGGATATATCACAGGCCAACTCTCAAGATAAATTTGTAGTTTGACATAAGCTATCATGAAACAAGACTTATTCTAAAGACATTGGAAGTGGGTTAGCTTAAAAACAGTGGGAGAGTGCAGCAAGAAAGTAAGCAAGAGTATGGAAAGGATAATTTAAACTCAATAAATATATAGGAATGAAGGTAAGTGAGGGGAGAAGGATTGACATATCAGGTCCTCAAAACTCAGCTGAAATGGAGCAAAGAGTGAGAGAAAACAGCAGGCAGTCTAGAAAAACGATTAGTTGGGAAATCTATGGTGACAGTGACCCCTTCAGTTTAGTTCAGATAAGTTCATGAAGGATAGGTCCATCATTGACTATTGGTCAAGATGGTCAGGGATGCAACCCCATGTGCTGAGTGTCCACTAGCCTCTGTTTGACAGAAGTTGGGAGTGGACAACAGAGGATGGATTGCCTGAAGACTGCCTGTTCTGTTCATTTCTCTGCAGCACACAGCATTGGCCACTGTCGAAAGCCAGGATTTTAGACTATATTTTAGACCCAGTATGTCCATTCTTATGTTCTTAGTTTCACTGACTTCTTGTGATCTAGACAATAATTGCCTGTCATTTAAGTACCGTTTTCTAATTTGTTTCCCAGAATTCTTTATTAAGAAAAGTTACATAAAGCAGAAAGTATAAAAGTCATAAGGATAAGATGAAATGACTGTGGCTGCTGCTACCCCAAATACAGCAGCTATAACTTATTGGACCAAACAGGTATCTAAAATAGTATTTGTATCTAATAGCTGTATATTCCAACTGCATTTTCTGTTATTTTGATCTGTCTCTTCACATAATGCCAAATTTTCCAGCCAAGAAGTTTGTGTTTCCTTGGGAAGTTGCGTTTTTCTCATCATTAGGTTTTGAAGGTGGGTCTATAGCAATATATTTAATTTGAAAACCACCTGCTGTCACTGAGGCATCTGACAAAAACTTTATGGTCATGAGATTTCCTATGGAAAGAGAGAAGGGAAAAAAGTTACTTATTTTCAACTGAATGAAAAGTGCTGCTTTGGAAATCGTTTATGTCTCCGACCCCCCTTCTCTCTTAAGAGCAATATTTGTGTATCTCATTGAAAACTAAGCAAGGAGCTCAAGAGCCACTCACCAATATTAATAAGAGTTTTAATTGAGTAAATAGTGAGAAAGCCTTTCAGGCATTGGATCAGTATTGCTTACTGGATGGGATCGGGTTAATGTAAGGGACACCCTTAAATTAGGTAGAGTAAATAGGTATGTTGGCCCAAATCCTCAACCTAAATTAGGGAATTAGGGACCTAAATATCTTTGAGGATCTTGGCCAATGCCTCCAGAAGCTTTGGGGAGCACTGGAGAAGTGAGGTTGCTGAACTATCCTTTCATCTGTGCAGGGCCGGCCTGAGGCATTCTGGAATCCCGGGCACGGGCATGCGGCGCCGCCCCCTAAGATGTGGGGAGTGGGCCCACCCCCTAGGGTGCGCAGGCCTGCCCCCAGGACGCATGGCGCATGCGCAGCCTGGCTACAGCCTCTGG